ACTTCTTTCTGGGTTTTGGAAGGTTTATGTGGCACTTTGCCGTACAAAAAGCTTGTGATTGCAAACAGACGGTTTGGGAGCAAAGACAATACGCAGTCAGGTGGGTTTTCAAATACTTTGCATTGCCTCTTCAGGGATCTAGTTGAAATTGTGCAGGGCCTTGATTTAGTCTTTAGTGAAAGTGGTGTTGGCCAAAAATGTTCCTCCTTTGTTTGGCACGGGCGAGAATTTCAGCTCATTAAATTTGGCACAAAAGGACTCATTGAATATGTGTTTGTACTCTCAGTTTGATTTATTTCTGAAGATAAACAGCTAAATAGAGTCTTCATTGTGCGTAGTTGTAAAGAAGTGGAGCAGGGGATAGTAACCGGAAGAAAAAAACTCTACTTTAAGTGTGAGTGCAGGCGAGGCAGACTTCGGGGAGTGTGTGAAGTGCAGGTAAAGACGCGGGCGGTGAAGCTCAGGTGAGGCGGAGGAGGTGATTAGGTGGTGCAACGGGCAGCAAGCTGAGTGGCTGGAAAAAAACAATACTGAATCCCACTGGAGGAAAAAACACACAACAGCAAAACCTACACACAGAAAACGACCAGTATACAAAATGTCTGAGGTACAGTAGTACACCCGTGTGTGTGTGTGTGTGTGTGTGTGTGTGTGTGTGTGTGCACGCACTTGTTGATGGTTCTGCTCTATGCTGGTACCTCATTTGTAAGCAGTAGGTCATGTGAGTGTAGAAATGTTCTTTTTTCCCCCTAGTTCATACTCTGGGAAGCACATTTCATTTTTCAAGTGATCACAACAAAACTAAATGTGTCTGAATACATTCAGAAACCAGCGTGTGTTAGTGTGTGTAGGTGCGCGTGTGTATGTGTGGCTGTATTAATAACATTGTCGAGACGCAGATCTGCTGATCATAACATCTGGAGTCAGAAATCTGGTCTCCGCCACGTGAAGTATTTATTCAGAGTTTATGCTTAGTTTTAGGGACAGGACTAGAAATAAAATGAGGTTCGGGGCAATGTTGTGTCTGGAGATACAGAAACCTTCAGTGATAAAAAAAAAATCAATACAATGTTGTAAAAAAAACACCTGATTGAGTCTATTCCCTTTCCCCGAACCCATTTTACTTCTGTTGTTTGAAAAACAAGATGTTGGGTTGCAGATTTAAAGTAAGATTTTGGGTCTAAGATTTCCTTTCAGCTTGCTTCTTTCTGTAAATACACCTTTTATTGTATGCGTGCAACACTGTTGCGTAAAATCCTGCAGTCCGTCGTGGAAAAGTGTGATGTATGTTCTCTCCGTAATGGCAGCAGTTTCAGAAGCAGAACTGCATAATTAATATGGGTATGAACAAAACTACAAGCTTAAAACCAGCAGAAAGCAGCAGGAAGCAACCAAGCTTTCCTTGGTAATTCGTTTGTAAGTTTTTCTGGCCACAAAAACAAATCAGTAAAAACAACCCAAGATTGCAATGATAAAACGTTTAAACTGCAATGATTTGTCATCGGCTCTTCAACGAATGAAACATCAGGTCGGATAAATGATCAATACACAATCTTGATAATGTTTTAGCAATATTTCAATTAATATTTCTGTCTCCGTGGCTCAGATTGCACAAAAAGTGTGTTGGCTGTTCACCTTATTTTGACTGCATTACATTACAGTTTCATTTCTGTTTTTTATACACGGACATGCAATGTTTACCGCGATCGTGCAGCTGATGAACAGCATGGTGACATTCAGGTTGTCACACTATTACAGACGCCCCTCTTCGCGTTGGCGTCCCCCGTAGAGCTCTCTCTCCTTTTGACACCGTCGAAGCAAAGGTCAAGATTCCACGTGCAGTCAAGCTTTCACCCTCGCCACTTGGCCGAGGTCTGGCAAGATGAATTCTTTGTGTCATCTCTCTACAGTGTTTGCCAGGTTCATCTTTTTCCTACAATGCCAAACAGCCAAACAAATAGAGCAGAGGAGTGTGTGTGTGTCTGTGTGTTTGTATGTGTTTTTAAAAGACATTGGCGCAACCGTTTTAACAGGCGACTCTGTTTGAATTAGATGTTCTAACCCCCCGCTTGCTAAATTGATTTCTGAAGTGGCTGTAGTTGGAGGCTTTCAATCGGATGCAACCTTGAGTTCTTTTTTATGTGAGCTGTGTAGGATTTAAGTGCTGGTATAACATGAGCACGACTGAATGAACGCTCCTCATTTTTTGAAATTGAAAAATCTCCAAAGGCTCTCCCCATTGTGCAGGCAATTAATGGAATGCTGGCAGCGAGGTTCAGGTGCTTAAAAGTTGTATTTTTTCTCTCTCTCTCGCTCTCTTTTTAATGACTAATAAAGGATAATCATTGTGGAAAAAACCCCATCATAATGCTGTAGGCTTTCTCTTTAGGCACAATGATGTATAATGCATGCTTTGAAATGAAACGGCAGCGGCCTTCGAACCGTTCCATCTCCAAACTTTGGTGTATTTGCTTTGCATGCTACAGTGAGGATTTTGCATTATAACAGTGAGTGTACCCATTAACAATACAGGCCTATTAATTTGATCTTTACATTTTTAAAGTTTGTCCATCAAGCTGCCAAACAATGGGTCCCCAAGTCGCTGCTTGCTATAATTGATTAGAAAGTTAACTAATTGCCTCTCTGAAGATTTGTGCTTTCTTCTCTCCGACTGGCTTGTTCTTCACCTGTAAGTCTCCCCTGGTTTACGTCCTCATAAATTGATGAATAAAACATTTTATTCATCCATAAATGTTTTATTTCATTTCAGAAAACCATTAACATGGGGAGTAAGGTGATTTAATTTAAAATATACAAACTCAATAAAATGCAAGTTAATTGCTTTGTGAAATCAGGACCAACACTCTGATATGTGATTGAAGTTTCTAACATCTGGCTCTCATATAACATCTGGCTCTCATATTTGTTAGTTTTCGTATTTTGATTAACGATGAATGGCAGTTGCTAAAAATTAGCCTTATCTCGACTTCCCAGAACCAGTAATAACTAAAGGTCACTCCATAATGACACATAGGAAGGTGGTCAGTGCTTATTGCATAACTGCAATCAAATGCACTTGAACTGCTGAATACTGAGGCGAGAATGCTTTTTTGTTGCCGGGATTCAAACGGCACAGCAAAGGAAACCTCACAGAATCAAAAGCTTTTTGTTGAAACTGGACAGTAGGTGTGTTGCTGTGTTAAAACGCTATGCTTCATTACACAGTCACTGTTCAATGGGATGTGTTATCCTTATTGATTTTGCCACCATGCGGCGCTGGGCAGGTGTTTGTTTCACAGACACTGGATCTGCTTCTCTCGGGCTTCGCCCGCCTCCAGTGCTGCTTCCCACTGCACTGAATACCACTCAGCCTATTCCAGTGCTCAGCTTCAGCACCTTTTTCTTCAGTCTTGGAACACTTCCAAATGCTTTTTTTTTTTTTTTTTTGCTTGTGCCCTCAATCTCTTTCTCTTTGACTGCGCTTTGAAAATGCAGGGAAACATACAAGCACATCTCGGTAAACACGAGTGATGTGGTTCCAGAGTTTAAAAGCTTCACACATAACACTGGCAGACACGACTTGGGGCTGTTTGTGTGACGGAAAAAAGCAGAACTTGCTAAGAATCTGACTGCGCTGTATGTGTGTGTGTGTGTGTGTGTGTGAACAAAAACAACTGTGTGTGTTCACACGTTGCTTTTGGCAAGTTATTCATTTGTGTTTTCTTTTTTTTCCCCCTGATCTCTGTGTGGAGCTGATGTCCACCTTCAGGGATGCGCAGAGCGTGCATTTCTGAGTATTTTCACCGGAGGCTGCACTTGTTAAGAGTCCGCGGATAAATGTATATACATTATTTATACAAATTCAGGGCGAGTGAAAGCAGGTTTAACACATTTACAGACAGGAGGCCAGGCACTGGAAGCCGAGCTCCGAGAGAGGATTGCTATACGTGGTGCGTCGGGGATCAAGCCGGCCTCTCGCCTGCTTGTGACCAGCATCCTTTATGCTGCACCAGAACACTACCGTCAACACCTCAGCGGTCAAATACTCATATTCATTCGCTTCATGAATAAATGAATGAAAAATCATAGAGTATTAAGTTTGGTTTGTTATAACAAATACAAGAGACACAAATGAACACAAACATTTTCAGCAGTTTCTGCCGCACTGTGACTCGTTCGGATGTTTTTACTGGTTTTATTACATTTATATAGGAAGCAAGCTTTTTTATTTTAGAAGAAAAAAATGTCCATTTTATCCTCAACACGAATACATGTGACTGAGAGCAAGGTAGAAGAGAGTTGGATCATTGAAAGGAATATATGTGAAGAAAATCGAGTTGGATTTTGGGAATATAAAAAACAATTATTTTTTTGTTATCACAGGATTCCATAAAGTTTTCACAAAACCTTTTCTGTTAAAAACCTTTTAACAAAAATGTATTGACACAATAATTACGTTTCAGAAAATCATTTAGGTCTAATTTGTATCATCACCAATATTTTTGCTGTTGAAGGTTAAGACACTGCGAACCAAGCTGCTCTTCGAATTTGTTAATTTGAATGAATTTTCTAGTTAAGGTTAACCTGGTTAATAGATTCGGTATTTAGCTATTCCCTCAATTTAAAAATGCATTGTATACTTATACAAGAGGCAGACAAATATTCAAATGGAAACAGTTTGCAGACACACACATTGCAGAGTCACGAGGAGTAAAGGTTGTCATTCAAAGTAAGATGCTATAGTGACTGAGATTAAAAATCTATATTTCTAAAGACTTATAATAATTGTTACTATACTATGTTGTGTATTTTAATATTCTCTTATACGCAAGTGTAAAACCTCCCCTTGGCCTCCTAAATCGACCAGTGAACTGTGCGGCTTTACTGTTGTTATTGAGAGGAGAACAGACCGACTGTGGGTATTTTCTCTGAACATGTTTATCTGGTTTTCCTCGTTTGAATTGGCCGTCCCCACTTACCGTTCCCCCTCTCCCATCCAGGAGCCTCCTCCCTCGGAGGCGGCCGCCTTGCCGCCTGGTTGTAGTCTTCATGTTCCCATGGAGCTGGAGTTCACAGCTTCCTGTTTCCCTCGCGGCCCGGCGCCTCAGCAAAGCTGAGGCCTCGTCCACGTTGGCTCACCTGGATGGTGATTGTGAGCTTAGCTTCATATTGTGACTTTTCTTTTTTGTATCACAATAAGTGAAATGTTTTAGTTGAGTTACAGCTACATTTTCTTTTACAGTTGTTTAACTGTGATCACTGTGGAGATGTTGTGTTGCATACCTTACTTTCAGATATCTAATAAGGGACACTTTTGCCTTTTTTTTAAGTTACAGTACCGGAAAGTAAAAACTAAATTACTCAACCATGGTTTTAATCTCGTTTTTCTAAGGTTTTATTACAAATTCATTACTTTTTTTTGTTGTTGTTGTTGTTGTTTTACGGTATTTGCAAGTTTTTCATTGATCCACTTTCTGTACATTTGCTGTGAAAGCATTACTGTAAATTGTCCATTCCAATGTGCGACCCATTGGAGCCATCACTTTCCTGCTCTGGATGCCCGTCTCCCTACTCTCAAACTATCAAATAAAGGCCCGAATGGGATAAAGCAGAACAACTGATTTCTCATCTGATCGCAATCCAGCATGTTTTACTAAAACGTTATTCCATGAATGTTGGAACAGCTATCCTTTGTTTCACCCCTTGAGAAAAACACATTTAATAGAACTGGACAGCGTTGGTGTGTGCAGGAAGCGAGATTCCGATGTTATAAGCATAATCATTATTTATTGAAATATGAGGGAAAATGTATTTGGCCTCAGAGGGACACTCCCCATGACAGGGGCAGTGATGAGGGCAACCAGAACGTCCGCAGGAAGTTATGACAAGCGGGAGAAAAAGAAAAAAAAAACAGCATTTTGATCCTTTGTCCGTGCGGACATCTGAGAGCATACATGAGCACATGAATACGCAAAGGCGGTCATCGATTAAGTCCTTGGTAGAGTATTTATCCTGTGTGCAAGTCTGTGTAGAAAGTTACTGCAGCTACAGATTGAAAAGCAAACCGTTGACACATTTGTTGACAGTTTACACCGTTCCCTTTAACTCGGGACGGGACAGAAAACTTAAAAGCTTAACGTAATCTAAAGACAAGCTCCTGATTGGTGCCAAACTGCAGCAGTTCTTCTGCCCTGCAGTAAAAAATGGGGATCCGGCACTAAGTTGTGCACTGTGTTGATGTGCGTGACTGTACGGCCTGCATGTGGTACAGAGGTAACATGTATGTTACACCAAGTTCAACGCAGCTGCAAACCGGACACAGAATTGGAAAAAGTGGGTGATAAAAGATTGTCTGATCGATGGACGAAGTCTATGAGAGCGTCAGAAAAATGGAGCCCGGGACCACGGACGGCTTCTTCAAGGGAATTGCTCTGTACATTAAACATGCCATTGAATTCGTTTTGATCGTTCTATGACTTACAGTAATTGACAAATGCCAACAGTTAAACAAATAAACACCACAGGCTGTTGTGGGAGGAAAGTGTTGGCACATTTTGAAAACAAAAGACAGTAACAACAACTACGGTACATGTGGAAAAACTCCACATGAGAATAATTTAGGGTGCCACTTTTAAGAAAAATTGAAATATAAAAAAGTTTTGTTCATTTTGGTCGTAACAATAGAAGCCACAGCTCACAGAGGAAAAGTCTTTGGTATATGAGCAAACCGTAAAGAATAATGCTGATGATCAGGTTGAAAATAATAACTAACGTAGCACAAACATTTTTCACACATACTTGCCTTAATACAATACTCTTGTCAATATACTGACTTGCGTAAACATTTAAAAGACCAAATAAATGGCGAGGGGTATTTTTTCTTCATTTTTTTCTTCTTTTTAAAGCCCATTATTTTGCTCCAGACCTGCATCACTGTACTACTTGTGGAAACAAAACAGGAACATGCGACAGTAAACAAATTTATTCTGGCGCAGACACCTCACGTCATGTAACACAAAGATGGAAACCCAGAGAAGCAATAAATTATCTTCATTATTAAGCGTAACCAGTGACATACTATACATAAAAAAAGTCCAAAGCACGGTAAATAAAAAAGAAAAAAAGTCTACAAAAAGGTTGAGAGTGAAACGGAATCCTTATACAGCAACGCTTAAGAAACAAATGTTTGAATGCCAGATGACACAGATATAAATTAATATTTTAAGTGTGATTCCTTTTTGATTTTAGTGTCTCACGACAATAATTAAGTACTGCTCAAAACCAAATAAAAAATAAACACTGTACACACACCAAAGAAAGCAAACCAGAGGGATCTTTTTTTTTCATTTCATTTTTTTCATTTTTTAGGAAATCATTGCTTTGCAATTTATGCTTCATCACAGTTCTCTCCCATATGACCATATTAATGTAAACACCTGTTGAATTATCCTTTTTTATTTTTACAACATTAATACTTTATATATATATTTGTACATATTTTCATTCACATCTGCACGGTTATCTAGCATGTTAATGAAATAAGGCAAGACTCACATAACTGTGACATCAAAAATCTTTTTTCTCTTATAATACTGATTATTAAGTTTTTTTGTAATTTCCTTCTTCTGTTCTGCAGCAAGCTTTGGTCTTTCCGGACAAACGCAGGGTCAATCGTTCTCCGTCTCCAGAATCACACGTTGTTTGTTCCAGTTGTAATGAAATAATAAAACAAGCTTTTTTTTGTTCTTTTCTTGCAGGTAAAGGGCAATAAATACAACTTATTGAGCTAACATTATTAATTGAATTTATTTAACACTGGTCTTTCTGAGGTACATAGTTCAAAATGTTTCAGGGTGTTGGAATAAGAAAGGGGAACCACACGGTGACCATGAGGAGTAAATGACTACCATTTCACGTGAGAAAAAAAACAAACATGTCAGCATTTTCTTCTTATCGGCCTGTTTATTATTTTGTTCATCAAGGAATTTTACTCTTTTCAACGTTTATTTTGAAACCGTCACATCGAACCTTCTAGGTTCGGCTCAAACTGCTGCGGCAGGCGTCTCATGTGAGTTCAAAGAACAGATGTGACGGCAGGTAAGAGTCCCCGGCCGGGTTGACTGCTTTTCCGTTCGTCTTCACAGTACCAACGGCGGCGGAAAGCCGGTTTCAGTGAAGGAGAGCACACCGGAGGATCGTCACCCAGAATCGGCCACCACTCTCGTCTCAAAGCTCGCTAAAAGATGGCCCGTGCTACTCAGTTTCCCTTCTCAGCACAAAAAAAGCCGTGCAATATGCCAGGAGCTCTAAAACAGTCAGGGGTTGTTAATTCTTTAAGTTGCAGCGGGCCGGTCTCGACGCTCGCACAGACGATTAGATCCCTTCTCGTGCCAAATGCAGTGTCCCCTTCAAGTGTTTTTTTTTTTTTTTCTCTCGTTTCCTCCCTCTCGTTCCCAGTATTGTCCCTTTCTGTGTGGTTGAGAAGATGTGCCTGATTCCTTCAGACCTTTTTCTTTCTTTTTTTTTGCACGCGCAGGATCTGTCTCTGCGCACGCGTGTTCGTCCAAAGCCGTAATCCAAAGTGTAACTTGAAAATCATAATGAGCTTTAATGTAGACAAGAGTTGCTCTCTGCTCTCCATCCACCAGCTCATCACTCAGTCAAGTCTGAGCCGGAGGTTCAGTTATTTGGAGTTTTTTTTTTTGGGGGGGGGGGGGGCCTGCAGCAAAACTCAGGATGTGTGCACAGCTGCGTCATGTTGCGGCGAGGTCCCCTCCTAAGCTCTCTTGGCGTGAAGCATTTCAATGAGCAGATTGTTGCAGGGCACGTCGCCATTCAGGTGTTTGTAGTAAAGGTATTCTTCGGCCTGCAGGCTGATGGCTCGGATCTCTGGCAGCCGGAGGAGCAGCTGGCCAAACTTGTCTGTTTGCTGCGGGTAGTTGCACATGACGTAGTCCAACAGCGCCGCGTTGACCTGCTCCTGGACGCTTTCTACCAGGTGGAAGTTCTCCAGGTTCTTCACATCTACAGGAGCAAACAAATCAAGGGTTAGATAAGATTACATATGAACAATCCCGGTGCTGTTGAGAACTATGGGGACAATAATGAAAGGATCTTGGAGGTGGACATAATGATCAATAATTGCAACTCGAAGAAGCTGATTGAGTTGCAAATGGCAACATCAATAAAATAAATATCGAGGTCTATGATTAGAAACATCTTTTGAACATCGACAACACATTTCCTTCTTTCTTTCTTTCACATTCATGTTTCACAGTGCCGTTATGGAGACAAATACATGGGTCATAATGGTTCCTATTTCAAGACAAAAAGGTTGGAATAATTAGGACTCTCAGGGGTACAACTCAACATGTTTGGCTTTTTTTTTTACTTCGGAAAGGACTTCAAAATGAACCACATGACGAAATATTGCTCCATCTACTTTTTTTCTTCCTGTGAATCATCTCCTGAGACGAGAATGTAGAGGGAATCAGGTAAAGGCAAAAATAATGGTTCTTCACCCAAGAGATTAAATTCCCCAGGAGTCACTGAATTATGTAGGACAGAGTTACAGCCATATTACTACCAGAGCCGCTCCTTAACCTAATGGCATCACCTGGATACAATGTAACAAAACACAGTATGTTGTAACTATGAGTAAAAATAAGCATATATATGGTGTGTATATATATATATATATATATATATATATATATATATAGTTGTATTCAGTGTTAATGTATTTGGGAAACAGTAATGACTTAAACTGCAGAGTCGGCCTACTATAAACTCCATATTTTGACGGGAAGTCTTTTTTTCCACTTTTAATTCCTTGTCAAAAATACAGCATTTTCCCCAAATCCTTCCTTTACGCGCAGCTATAAGCACTTTTCCTTGACAATAATAAGCTCACTGGGGGTTTGAACAGATTATTGCAAGACAAGACAAAAATGTGCTAAATGGATAATGGTGAACAAGAGCGCTGTGTGTACTTGTCATGATTATGAAGCGCAGGGCTGCAGAATATTTAATCAGATAGTGGTCCTGTGTGTGTGTCTGTGTGTGTGTGATCTTTTATTAATCTGTTTGACCCCAGGTTGAATGTTCTCACAGTGGGATAATGTGGAATGACAGTCTGTTTGACACCTGCAGACCAACACATACACCAAACCTCACTAAAAGATACCATCTTAACGGTTGGTCTTTCTCACAGACACACACACACACACACACACACACACACACACACACCTATACAGACACTAATCCATGGAAATACACATAATATTTCTCACACGGTTCCCCCTTCCCACACTCACACACACTCCATCCACCCACCCAGAGCATTAAGAGGAAGGAGGGGGAGATAAATCAGCAGCTAATGAGGTCTAGAGAATGAGAAGCAGGTCCTTGAAGGCACTTCCATCTATGATGCACTCTACCATGCTATTACAATATGAATGTGAGTGTGTGTGTGTGTGTGTCTGTTGTTCCTGTGTTGTCTGTGTATGTGTGTGTACCATGTGCACGATCACTGTGACCTCTGGGTGACACGGAAGGGGCTAAATAAGGCCACGCTGAGGGCAGGAAAGGGAGGAGGTGACAAAGAATATGCCAACAACCGCGGCATGTGCTTTTTCCTGCCGCCACTCAGCTGTCTGACCCCCTATCAGACTGCTCCCACACCACCAGCACATCCGAGAAGCAGTCATGGGGCCTTACATAAGTGAGGGCTGCAGAGTGAGGGCTTTAGGCCCTAACACACAGACGTCCTACGCAGGTCAACGAGACAAATAATGGTCTTATTTGCACAGTAAACACATTCTGGCAAATACATGGAATTAAGTATTGCTCAAAAAGTGGATTTTTAATAATATTAAAGAACACAGTCCTCAACCCTCCACCGCACTCTAATCAGCCCTTATTTCACAACCTTTTTTGGGATTTGTACCTTCCTTTCCCTAAATATTTTCATTTGAATCTAAATCTGGAATCTATAAACCAAACACATCATGTTTTAGGTATTTAATTGAAGAACAAGCTATTCCTGATTAGATGTCTAAACCTCCAAATTCCCAGAAAAATCACATCAGTGTCCTCAGTTACAACCCTGGAAGTTTGTATTATAGGTACATGTTGGTCTGAGGGATCATTTGCTATTGAAGGCCATGCTGTCGAGACAAGGGTTTAAGGGAAAAACCTCGTATGTATTTTGTAGCTTCTTCATTTTTTCATCTTAAAATTGTGTGACACCATGTCCTGAAAGTTTCCTCTGCAGTACAGGCAGTGTGGGTTTCCCTAGCAAATACAGATCATGTTGCAAAATAATCACTTCAATATTAGAGAGTGCGGCAAAATGACAAAGTGAGCCCAGACCACAGCAAAAAAATATGAGGTGTTGCCATGGTTTCTCATCATAATGTTGACTGTGTGTGGCGCAACAGTGTAGGCATGTGGCGAAGAGTTTGATGGGTGTATGTGTGGATGTTTGGTGAGGGGGGGGATTAGTACCCAGAGTCAAACTCATTAGTGGAAAGTGAGGAAAAGAGAACATTTTAATTGCTAATTATTACCAGAGTAGCATTTGATCCTTTGGCCTCCCAAAAAAAGTGACAATAGTTTGATACCTACTACTGTACCTACTACCACACTGTCAAAATCAAACCAAAAACAAATAAAGCAGCTTACTTAATTTGTTACTATTAACATCAAAAATCATTTTGATTCAAATGCACTGATCATTCAAAGGGACGGTAGGGGTGATGAAAGAAAGAAAAGGGTTAGGGGCAAAAAAACAATTGATCAATGATTCCCAGACAGTGTCAGGTCGGAGCATTAAGTGTGCTAAGCGCTCTCCCCCACGCCCCCTCCACCCTCCCCCTCTATCTTTTGCTCTCCGTCTCATTGTACAGTCACTGTGGGACTAATTATCAACTTTTTTTTTTTCACATAAAACAGCCACAGCTCGTTGCAGCGCCGCGTCTGAATACTCAACTGGAAACCCTGAGGTCCCACGGAATACATTGTTTCTTTTGACGGGCGATCATGCTGAAGCCAACGACCTACACACACACACACACATCCATTCTCTCTATCACAAAGCCCCTGAAATCACTGCTGTGCTTTTTAATTAGACAAGCTTTGCTGCGTGTGTGTGTGTGTGTGTGTGTGTGTGTCCGCATGTTCTTTTACACTCTTTCACAGCCCCTTGCAATCCACCTGCTCCAGGGACACATACAGCATTTAGACACACCGCACATTCACTCATGCAAATACGTGCTGCATTACTACACTCTGATCTTGCTTTTGCCTCACACTGTTTGGTAGAAACTTAGAAAAAATCACTTGGTGTCAAAGTTCAGGCAAACATACAGCACTTTGTTTATGGCTGTAGGAAGCTAAAGCAAACCTCACTCTGCAGTGAGGCGTAGATCCTAGATGAGTAAGACCTGGAATTCGCGCCAAATTTAAACGACAACAGGGTTGAAAAAGGTCATAAATGGCTGATTATGTGCTTGCAAATAAGGATAATTTAATACATTTGGAGGGTAAACTCTTTTTGCTTGGATTTATTCACTTAAACCTTTTGTGAAGCCCAAAATGTGTTTTATAAAACATGAATCACTCTTACGGTAATCAGCCTGACATGTCAGACATACCTTTGACAACCTCTGCCCTCTATTTTCCATCACGTTGTTTCGCCATCACACTATGACCTGTTTCCAGTCATGTTAGGTACGGCAAAATAACACCCTGGTCTTTCACAGTCCACCTTTAGTGCCCCAATCAATAAACCTCAGTCACATGCTGCCAAGTCAGTGTACCTTTCCGACTTCACAACCTATGCTTCTTGCCAAACTCTCGGGTCATAAACAGTTATTGTGGCAAGTACTGTTAGTAAACTTGGTCAATTAAACGTGAGTGGAAAACAAACTGTTCCCTTCCTGAATAGGTGGAGATTGAGGCCGCCACCTCTTCAGATAGCAACACGATCAAAGCTGAAGCACCTTTTACTGCTCCAGCGGTGCTTTAAAGAGCAAGTTGAACCCGTGTCCTGGCCAAGTCCTCTTTATTGCACCCTACTGGATTGTTACCAGGTCAACATTGTCAACTGCTACTTCATTCATTGTTAATGTGCCTGACAGCCAATCAGAGGCTGGGGCGTTGAAAGAACAGTAACCAGCAACCTTTGACTGGGCGCGTTGACGGGACAACGTGAGGACTGAGCACAGCCGACAATGAGCTACGGTGGAGCTGTGTGTGTTCGCTTGGAGAATTTGGTCTGCGTGAGAGTACACGAGTGTGGTGTTAAGAAAAAGGGCAGCAAGGGGCAATCAACGCAGATAACGTTCACGGGGCAAGGGACAACGGCCGCACGGCCAACCGCGTCCCTCGGGATATGATCAGAGTTGCGGTGCACCGCTGGGCTTCGTGTTGGAGGAGAGCAGCCTCCCTCACCGGCCATTTTACCCTCAAACTACAATAAAGTTATGAAGTACCACAAACTCGCGCTGCTGCGCACACACACAAACACACAGCAGCCCGGATTAATTCTCCTCTGACAGCATTCAAACGTGGAAGTGCGTGTCTGTTTTTTTCCTCTACAGGAGACTCTGCTTCCCTCATCTATCTGAGCTTGCCAGCAAACAAGTTTCCCTTCTCCCCAGAGATCTCAGCTTCCTTGTTTTGCTGCGTGTCCCATTTGGGGAATTGCCTTTCTTAGATACAACGCCTCCACGTTACAGGCGAACAAAAATACATGGGGGGGTAAACTGATGTTCATTTCTCCTTAACATTAAATGGTTGTTCTTTGAGACTTAATAGAACAGAGGCTAAAAGGAAAACTAGCATCACCCTGAGATTATCCAATCAGAGGAGGCAAGAGAAGGACGTTTAAACTGAATGTTGCTCTCTAATAACAGTAAATTGAAGCACGGACAAATTCTGCAAAACGTGAATGTTTGTAGACGGGATGTTAAACATTGTCATCATTTAAATAAGTGGGATAATGAAGTAGCTTTCCG